CTCTTCTTGTTTATTTTCTTTCTCCTCCAACCACTGCTGTAGTCTTTCTTCTTGTTTCCTTTATTTCTCCTCCAACCACTGCTGTAGTCTCTCTTCTTGTTTCTTTTCTTTTTCCTCCAACAACAGCTGTAATCTCTGTTCTTGTTTCTTTTCTTTTTTCCTCCAACAACTGCTGTAATCTCTCTTCTTGTTTATGTTGCTGTTTGAGCTGCCACTGTTGAAGGTTTTCTTGCCACTGCTGTTGTCTCTCTTCTTGTTTCTTTTCTTTTTCCTTCAACAACTGCTATAATCTCTATTCTTGTTTCTTTTGCTGTTCTTGTATTGCTGCCATCAAATCTGCTATGCTGTAGTTTGGTTTGCCACTTTTCGTTTCCATCTTCTTCTTTTTTTTGTTTCAATTCCAATCCTGACACCAATTTGTTACGCATCTGCTCGTTTGCTAATTTCCGATATAAATTCTTTCCGAGGAACTTCAGTGATACAAGTCCTTTCTTTATTAAAACTAATTTATTCTTTCTTGATACAACTTTTTAGTACACAGATTTTCCACAATCACTAAACTTAACAACCTTTATAACACATGCTATAAATCACAGTGATTAACACACTTTACTTAAGGTGCCTACTGTTCGCTTGACTCAATTATTTATCTCTTCAATCTATCTGCATATCTATCTATCGCTGGCTTTATTTGCCAGTCTTATATACTAAAAAAGAGGGCGCCTGGCAAACACTCGGGTATTCGCGGAATTCCTTGATAACTAATGATCATTCTAGAAACTGCAGCGTGCATGCTCCCAGCATCGCATGACTTCTGCTGTCTCAACAATACCCTGTGGTATAATTGTCTGTGAGATTAACTTTTTAGGTTTTAGAATAAATTAGCTAACTTCTTTTTAAGTTAAAAAAAAGCCAAGAAAAAAAAAAGGAAGATAAGATTAGCTTTTAACTCTAAACACCAGAACTTGTTGTTAGGACTCAAATGAACCTAAAACAGTCTTTTGAAACTTGTTCTAGTTAAAGCGTTTTGGTCTTGCATCTTGTAAATATATAGTGATTGTATAACTATGGATAACAACTATTTTCTTCCCTAATCATTACATATTATGCAAACCTTGTTAAATATATTTTAAACTGAAATAGTACAACACAAGCATGAAGCATAAATTAATAAAATACCTGATGTAAAAAGCCATTACTCTGGCAACACAGAAACTATACAGCTCATTGAACTCAATACATAATACGGAAGTTTAGGCTTTGAATTTCATCTAAATAATTTATCTTAAGAACTTTTTTTTTGTCAGTTACTTGGTCCTCTCATTTTTGGCTTATTTTTCTTATGTTTATCATGAATATCACAACTAGTGACAATAAGTGAAATGTACCAGGTACATTTTCTTCTCTGTAAACAGTTATATTAAAACAATTTTGAATATGCAAATCAGCAAGTCATGTGACAACTACAGACAATATAAAGTTTAACTAGAATGGAATGTATTAGAACTATATTTTGACAATGCTTAGCATTTCTTAGAAAGTGTGATGCCATCAAAAACTGTCAACTTTTGGGAAGGGTATGTAAAAGCCTTTGTGACAAAAAATATTAATACACACATCATAAGAATAAATTCAGATTGGGGATTTAGAATTTTCAAGCTGGAGATATCCCTTTTACTTAAAGCTAATGGGAAACAAAGAAATATGGGGCAACTTGGACACAACAACATTTAGAAAGAGACCTCTAACAAGTTCTACCCTAGCCATGATTATTATCAAAGTGTGACATTTGGTAACAGATGAAAATCCACAAACACAAAGATCAGTTGAAAAAGCAATCCATGTGCCCAGGGCAACAATATACAACATACTCAAGAAGGCTGCCAGTCATATCTCTTGTTCTAACATGGTATACCTAAAGCAGCTTGACAATTGGGATGGTGTTGACTGGGTGAATTGCTGTGTTGGACTTGTGGTAGACATAATGCTTTGAAGTTAGACCAAAAAACTCAATTTTTGTCTTGTCTGACCATAAAACCTTCTGCCACATGTCTGCAGTATCGTCTACATGCTTTGTCGCAAACTCCTAACAAGATTTAAGATGATTCTTTTTCAGTTTTCAATAATGGCTTGTAATGGATATTGTCGATGTATAAACACTGACTGCCATCTCAGACATGGAACTTTGCAAATCTTTCAGAGTCACTGTTAACTTCACAGTAACATACCTGGCCAGT